GCATGCATTAATATTTCAAGTTTACTACCGTTGAAAGAACCGGATTAATAACAAGCGTATTAACCGATTGATTCTAGTAATAATTAATATGAGAAACAATACTAGTTGATACTTTAAGTAATGTTTAAGATATTAACATGAAATATGAATAGGAATTAATTAATACTCAAGGAAGAATATTAAAATATATGAATCCTACTATGATTAATATCAAGATGTTAACTAATTGTCATCTTAGTAACACTCCCCAATATTATCATAGAGGAAGAAATAGCTATTACTATAACCAATGTCAAGATGTTAACTAATTGTCATCTTAGTAACACTCCCCAACTTTGATATAGAGATAGTATTTTGAAAGAAAGAATTAATATTCAAGGAAGAAGATTAAAGAAAAATAACTCACAACTTACAAATTCATTAAGCTTCAAAGTAGCAAAACCAAGATGGAAGAGTTTAGCTCCTCATTTGGAGACTAAACATGATGAAAAATATAAAGAAAGAGCTATTCTATACTGAGCTTAGATGTACAAAGGGATTGGATATCTTTTTGTGAAGGAAAGGAGGTGTATTTATAGGTTTTTGGGATGGGATTCGGGTACTCGATCGGGTATATACATGGTACCCGATCGAGTATGTGTGTAACACCCGATCCGAGGCATACTCGACCGGTTTCAGGCTATTTTCTAAGTGTATACCCGATCGAGTATATATGAATACCCGGTCGAGTATGCTTAGAAAGTGGTATTCGGGCTATACTCGACCGATCTTCGTTTGCAATTTAAAGGCATACCCGATCGGGTATGTCGGTCTACCCGATCGGGTATAGACATAGAATCGTGGCCAAAATCTTCCATGCATGTTCCTTTGTCTTCGGATCTGATCCGATTTGAAGTTCCAACCTAATACCCGATCGAGTATAGCTAATACTCGACCGAGTATAGACCGAAATTCAGGATCTTCTTTTGTCTTTGAACTTTTGCACCTTCTCTTCACTTTTTGGGTTCACCAACTGTACTTTGGGTGACCAAAACCTGCTTAAGCTCAGAATATATCTAATCTAACCTATTTACAAGAATTTAACAATCTAATCTATTACACCAAAAGTGTGTAATTTCCAAAGTAAAAGTCAAGCAAAACTAATTAAAAACATAAACATAGAAATGGAAATTACGAACGTATCAATGACCAAACCTACAATGCCAAAGATATGTGGTATTTTTCAGATTACTTAATCTTGGTCTTTTATTTTGTACATTTAATATGTCATGTCTACAATTAAGAACATATAAATCATTCATAAGAGGAGCATTTCCATACACAATACCATTTTGTGAAAAATAACAAGTGTTATTAGCAAAATGAAAGGAAAAACCCTCAATGTCTAACATAGGAATGGAAATTATGTTCTTTGTTATAGAAGGAACAAAATAACAATTATTTAGTTCTAATCTATAACCACTGGGTAAATCTAATATATAAGTCCCTACACGTTCAGCAACAACTTTTGCTCCATTTCCTACACGTAGGTCAATCTCATCCAGCCTAACTGCTCGACTGTCATTTAGGCCTTGCACACTATTGCAAATGTGTGAGCCACAAGCCGTATCTAATACCCAACAGTGAGAGTTAGTTGTAGACATATTAATATCAATGACAAAAATGCCTAAGCTAGAAGAACTCGGTGCTTTGGCTAGATTAGTCCTGTAAATCTCACAATCTCTCTTCCAATGTCCTATCTCTTTGCAGTAGAGACATACATCATTTGGTACCTCAGCAATGTGATTCTTCTGAATGTCCTTGTCAAACATGGCTAATTCAGAAGAGCTAACATCAAGGATCTCGGGTACACATGTATCAAATACATGTTCGATATTTTCTTGCCTAAGAACGAAACGCATATTTTGTTCCAAGTCTAGAAAGTTTGGTTCAATCAGATTATTTGTATCCAAGATACTTCTCAATGATAAATTCGACATACCTAAAAGCCTAAAGAAGTTCAAATAGGACGGAATTAAAATCATATATTAATTCCTATGATCACATCTAGTTAACTAAATAATATGGACTTTTAATTATTTAGCTCCCACTATTTTTACATGCTCTTTGACCCCAATAAAAAGAACATGAAATGTTTTACAATCATAGTGGCCAAAATCCTCATTCATACTATTATAGTCCCAGCTTGGGCTAATCACTGCAATAATATAATGGGTAGGTCCCTAGACCAATTGCATCCAAGCAACTTAATATATAAGGACGTTTGCGAGGACTATTCAAATTCCCTGTAATATAGAGCTCATAGTGATACGGTCATTTCATTCAACGAACATTCAACTAAGTCTAGAACATGATATAGTGTCTATCCCAATAACTCAGTCTCTGTCTCTCAATCTTTCTAGATGATCCATAACGATCATATTCGATATCCAAAACGAATATATCTTTGCATTGGCTAATGACTTTATGATCCATCTAGATATGAGAAGTAGAATGTTCTCTCTTAATCTATTATGAGGAATGAATCCTTTCTTGGCTCAACTACTACTCCATGTGCTTCGTGATGCACCCAACACATGCCGTATCTACCCCGATTGGAGTGCAAGCGTTGGTCATGGTCAAAGTACACCACTCCGCACATGTAGTACGTATTGACCTCAAGTCGGAGGACTATTACACTACTCTATACGCCGATAATCCCATAGACACATGAATAGAACTTATCAAATGGTTTCTCGGTGGGTATGCCAATATTCTCTAAAATATCTATGTGACCATCATGAATTACAGGAACTCATAGTCGTGAGATCAACTATACTTTCTAAAAGTATGATGCAGTCCACATACCAATCTTATCGCATATCATCAATATCCCATTCTTGATGATCATTGATTGGGGCTATTTTAGGACCTTATGTTATATTATATAAGCTCTCACTTACTTATTGACAACATAAATCCAAGGGAACACAATTATGAATAAAACATTGACAATCGAAAACAATCATTCATAAAATGTAATACCGTGTATATATCAAATATAAAAACTAAATGTGATCAAGTACATATGTCACCGGAAGAACATTCCTCTATAATGCTATTTATATGATACGGAGTAATATTTAATAATACTGCTAAAATTAATTGAGACGAGATTGAAAGTGTCTTTTACTTCCAAAGGTATTCGTGGTGCCACTTATGGCATTTGTGCAAATATATGTTTGGTATTATTGACCCAAGCTTTATTTGTTCATCAATGTTCAAAGGAATAATCAAATTTTTGAAAAATAGTGTAGAACTACAATACTTTTACATTCTACTCCGTATATTTTAGTACTCCGTGATAAATTGTCATAATTTATTTATACAATAGTTGTTTACTTTTTAAATTGATTGACTAGTTTCCTTTTTGCAAAAATATATGTATAAATTATTTACCACAAATAATACTAGTGTTTAATATTTAAATACTGAAATAATTTCAAGCTTCTAACATCTTGGCAATGAGCTTTCACTTCACGTATTATGCATGAGACATCTTCTTTCAAAGATGGCTGAAATCATGATAATTCAACTAATCAAGCCAAAACCCAACGTTATTCAACAGCCCATCACGTCATTTGTCAGCCTAACTTGAATACCTCATTATTATATGACATAATTGAGCGTTTCTTCACTATAGTCATGTTGGGGGCGTCTAGAGATGAGGTGTCATCCTTTTCTTTCTTCCTTTTGTTACCGTCATTTCATTTTTTAGAAAAAGTTTAATCTCCAACTCCAAGGGTCTACGGTCCACCACGACCTGACCCGACAAGACTTTTGAGAGATTGTAAGTCACGGTGACTCAGTTAGTCCAATGGTGATAGACCTTTTAACCCTGCGCACCAGAGGACCAGCCCAGCATGCAGGTGTTATAACCTCCACACAATCGTTGCAAGATTCGATCCTTGATCATTTTTCCAACTCTCCCACTACTCAACGAATTGAGCTACACATGCGGGTTGTTACAACCATTCATGACTATGTGTTTGTAGATGCTCAAGTGGAAATATTGTTTTGTTCTGTAATTCATGTTTTACTTATAATTTTACTAATTAAATCTCCAAACATTGATTTTATACTTTACTCGTTCAATTATATAATAAATAAAATACACAAAACTAAATTATACACTGATCACATAAATGACATTGTATGGACTTCTCAATTGGAATTGATATACCTTTAACATTTTATAATTTTTCCTGATTAGAAAAATATAATGAAATTTCCTTTAATAAGAGTAAAAACATTTGTTAATTCTAAAACATTTTAGAAAAATAAAAACATTTTTTATTTCATAAATAAGAGAAATTACTGCAAAACTTGGAAAGTACAGCCACTTATGATACTCTTTTCGTCCCAAATTATTTTGCAAAGTCAACTTTTTTTTGGTCAACCAATAATAAAAGTCAATCCCCCTATCGATAATTAACTCAATTTTTAATAATTAAAAGTTAAATATTCAGAAATTACATTAAAATCTCTTCAAAGTTGCAAACTTCAAATTAGAATATAATTAAGAATTGACATCTTAGTTAAGCAAATAAAATGAAACAATTTGACCAAGAAAAGTCAAATTTGCGAATCAATTTGGGACAGAGGTAGTAGTTGTTTCCAAGTTAGAAAGAATCTCACTCAAAAAACAGATACAGTATCACTACAGTACCACTACAGTACCAAAAACACCTTTTTTTATAAAGTATACGGTAATTATTTTTAATTTCATGAAAAAGAAATGAGTCAACTAATCATTAAAATAAATAATGTTGGAGTCACCTATTTTAAAAATCAAGTAAAATCAAACTTTTGAAAATCTTGACACACATCCATGATGCAAAAGTTTGAGGCGGGGACCGCCGGACCGCCATGGTCCACAGCGATAAAATTCTCAGCCCACCATGGAAAAATCAGAAAAGGCAAGGATTTCAGAATTAGCAATGCTACTAATCGACATAAAGTGATAAAGATGCTTCTTCAATAAAGATTATTGAATAGGACGTACTGAAAGGCGCCAAATTGGTCTAGATTATTAGAGACTCCCGTAGAAAGGCTACATCAATTGCATTCCCATTTCTGTCCATTGGAAATTACAAAGAGTTCTCTGCAAATTTAGTTTCTGCGTGTAATGAAAGCTTTGGTAATCTAGTGCTTTAATTAAACATTTATTATAAACCACACATCATTTCTCTTCATCAATACTTTCTTCAAACTAGGTTGATATATTACAAACTTGCTGACTTCACATGCTAAGGTGTCAAATTGGGGTTCGTCCACTTTTTTTAATTTCCAGTTCAGGTTCTTTTTTGTTTTTATAATCATTTTTGTGTTTTAAAGTGATCATTTTTACCATCAAAAAGCTATTTGGGGTTGCCAATTTGGTCTTCACACCCTCATTTTCTGAAGTTCTGCTTTCTTTCGGACAAGAAAGGGAAAGGTTGCAGACTTTCAGTTAACATTCTAAATTAAGTTTGATCAACCATTTTCAGAGTTAAGGTACTTGTTTGTATTTTTGTTTTCATCTTTGTATGTTAAAGTGATCATTTTTATCATCAAAGAGGTATTTAAGTTTCACTAGTTTAACTGTTTTTTTTTTTGCAAGAAAAGGCAAAGGTTGCCAGTTCACTGTCTAAGCAAAGGTTTTTCTGGTGGTTGATGATCCGGAAGGGTTCTGGTTGCTCAGAGAATGGCAGAGAAGGAAGATATATTTCTTTCTGATAAAGGGAAAACCCCTATTTCCATTTTCTCGAGGGATGCAAGGTGAAAGTTTGATTCCCTTGCCCAATTCTTGGTTGAATTGAATGACAAAGTTTAGGTCTATACCTTTAAGATTTGAGGTTTCATCAAGTATTTCAAGATCTTATGTGGGAGTTTATATCTTTATATATATGGCCGGTGTATGAGATAGCTTAACTTAAAGCTCACTAACCTGATTACAGAAGTACTAATAAACCGATGTTCATGTAAGGAAGGACAGTAATATGTATTTTCTTAACGATTTTGATGCTGTAAGCAGATCAGTTTTCAAGTTAGATGAGTTGGGTGTTGAAATAGCTAGGATTGCAGTCCCTGCAGCACTTGCTTTGACAGCTGATCCTATTGCATCTCTGGTTGATACTGCTTTCATTGGCCAATTAGGTATAACTCTTACCTAATTTATTCTTACTATCCTTTGCTTTAGTCTTTGTGTGCTTTTCTAATGATTAATTATTACCTATGCCCCCTTCGAGTTCTGTTGTAGTCACGTGATCCCTGAAATTTACACAATGGACGGGAAATGTTGTTTATGTTGAACTTTGTTCTGAACCAATCCGTAAAGTTCATGTATTAATGGTGTACAGGTGCAGTAGAACTTGCTGCTGTAGGAGTTTCAATAGCTGTGTTCAACCAAGTATCTCGGGTTGCAATCTTCCCTCTTGTCAGTGTCACTACCTCTTTTGTTGCTGAGGAAGATACTATCACGAGAGGCAGCTCAATCCCACAGGACCCTGAAAGTGCTGATAATGGTGGATCAATGTTGGTTGAAAACAAAAGGTTGATTCCTCAAAATGGTATGTATGTCTGGTATCTATAGCTCAGGTTTACCTCACACTTTATATATAAGGTATACATCATGTAAACGCTTAATGCCGGACACTTAAAACGCCCCCTCTATTTTAACCGACTGGAGAACTGAGAACTTGAAGGTAGATCTACCCACAAAACCATGAGAAATAAGCATATAAGTAAACCCCAATCGGATCAATCTCTTATATCACATTAAGAGTTGAGTTATAACTCATCCAAAAAGATGTGAGTTAAGGATTTTTTTCACACATTATATATTAAATATAGAGTTGGAAGCATCCGATGTGGGACACTTAAGAATATCCCAGTCGGTTGTTGAAGGATCCAGTGAGCTAGGCCCACTTTAATGGTTCGATTGCAAATTTGCAATACCGTGGAAAAGCTTTTGGTTTGTTTGACTCCAGCTTTCTTGATTAGATTCTGAAGAGTGTGGAAACAGAGATGAACCGATTGCAAACAGCTTTGAAGTAGTAGCTGCTAACAGCACAAAGCGGCACATCCCATCAGCCTCATCAGCTTTGATCATTGGGGGTATCCTTGGTATCGTCCAAGCAATACTCTTAATAGCAGGGGCGTCTCCCGTGCTAAAATTCATGGGGATAAAATCTGTAAGTGGAAGAGAACTGGGAAATGTAAAATTCTTTGTATATGTTAATTTTGAGACAGATTTGATCGATTGGAGCTTTTTTGGTCATCTTTACATTGATAGGGATCACCAATGTTAAAACCTGCACAACAGTACTTAGCATTGAGGTCACTTGGGGCTCCAGCAGTTCTTCTCTCTTTAGCCATGCAGGGGGTTTTTCGGGGATTTAAGGACACAAAGACTCCACTCTTTGCAACCGGTAGGGTCCTTTTGAAGCTCCTAAAATGCTAGGGAAGAATATGGGATGTGAAATATAGAGGGTACTTGGAACGATAAAAACTTTGGGGCAAAAGAGCATTGGCTCACTCAAGAAATTTATTATTGATAATTTTTCAACTCATATTATTAATTTGTATAATATGAAGACTAATAAATCTAAACATTCGAAAGGTTTTAAAGTACAATAATCATATACAGTACTCCGTATCATTTTCCCCTGGAAAATAACCTTTCTTTAAATGTATTCCTTTGTTTAGTGCACTCAGGGATTTAAATATACTAACATTTTGTCTGTTTTTCAGTGGTGGGAGATTTAACAAACATAATATTGGATCCTATCTTTATCTTTGTTTTCGGCCTAGGTGTTAGAGGTGCGGCTATTTCACATGTCATTTCTCAGTAAGTTTTACAAGGAACAAAAAGGCTTATGCATGTTGGAACGCTGTAATCAATGAAACTCAAAAGTAGTTTATCCCTTGATTTTCTATTTTAGGTACCTTATTTCGATCATACTTTTTTGGAGATTAATGGAGAAAGTTGATTTAATGCCCCCTAGTCTCAAAGGCCTGCAATTTGCTCGATTTCTTAAAAACGGTAAGGTTCCTTGTTATGCAACCAACATTTTCTCAAGAAATCGCCGCTTTCAAGATTATAAAATTATCATCATGCTATCTCCAGTTCAAATAAGCGGTAAGTGATTTCTTCTTTCATTTTGCAAAATCAGGTTTTCTGTTATTGATGAGGGTGATAGCTGTTACATTTTGTGTAACCCTAGCTGCATCATTAGCTGCACGACTAGGGCCCACAGAAATGGCTGCATTCCAGGTGTGCTTGCAGGTCTGGTTGGCTACCTCTCTTCTCGCTGATGGTTTGGCTGTTGCTGGACAGGTTAGAATGTAATATGTAATTTTCTTCCATGCTAATTAACTATTAAGACTCAAGAATTCATGATTAATTCATAATGGTTAACTTGGTAGTATGAGTAACCGGAAATGATTCGTTATTTTATATATAGGCACACACCCCTCATGGAAAAAACATGGTCCATATGTTTTTTTCTCTATAAAGGTCCACAACTCCACATCATGGTGTTGTGATCTTTGTTAGTAAAATACGGTTCGTGAATCATACAATCATACGTACGTTCGTGTATAATACGACACACTTTTATAAAATACGGCTAAATATATGTTTCATACATTCGCAACAAAAATACGAATACGTACGCGTTTTAAACGTTTAATAACTTTAAAATACGACATATAATACATATCTATATATACACTAAATTATTGATAGAACGAAATGATTAGTTAACATATCAACATTTTTCAATGATTTAAGATGCAATTTCCCTACAAAAGAAAATATGTTCTTAGATATATCATGTAATAACTAAAATGAAAATACCAATTTTAAAAAAATTAATACTAACTTTAAATTTTCTATGGAAATCACACCAAGTAAAACTAAATCCCAAATTAAAGAAGGATAGTAATGAGTTTTTCATTTGACTTTTTTTGGTCAATGACATTCAACTTTGACAATTGATATTTTTTAATAAGAAAATATTTGAAATATGAAAATTATATCAAAATGTTCCTTATTCAAAATATTTTCATAAAAGTATAAACTTTTTAAATTATATACAAATATAATAATTAAAATCATTGTCCAAAGTTTGCCATTATTGACCATGAAAAGTCAATATGGAAAACCTTTTCGGGACGGAGGTAGTATTAATATTAATGCTCAATTGAATCACATAAATAAAGTTCAATTGAATGAAAAATTGACATCAAACATCAAAAAATAAAAAAATAAATGTGTTGATAAAAGTTAACTGGAAATGTCGACAAGAGAGAATTGCACTTCACGTTTGAAGGTTCGATTTTATTAAGAGCGTAGTAATATTAATGAAAGTTGAAAATTTCATGAAATATTGAATAGTGAATACCTATAACCCATTAATTCATTATTGAATATTAGAGATAAACTACGTGGCTCTTTAAAATTTAAATAGAATGGAATTATTAAAGAATAGCTTATACAGATTAGAGTACTAACCTGGATGTACCGACGTAGAGCTTGCCGCCGTCGCCCGCTAATCTTCTACGTGCAATGTGAAATTGTGAATACCTTGGCACTTTCTTGGATTAGTTGGGGCCTTACCGCTTTAGGGACCGGGCTTGGAGAGTTGGAGCAACTGTACATAGGAATATAGGATTAAAGTTATTAAACCATTTATGCTTAAAGTTTATTTTTTTAAGATACGTATAAAATACACATTATACGAGTATTATTCGGATTGTTCATTAAATACGCGAATTTTAACGTATTTTTGCCAAAAATACTTAAACGGGTGAATTATACAAGTATTATACGTTTACGCGAATTATACGTGTATTATACGTGAATAAACTAACAGAGGTTGTGATGACTCTAATACTATGTTAGGATTTGGCCAGTGTGGATGCCTTCATATTAACTACTGATTATCTTGACCATTTTTAATATCTTCACCATCTTCAGGCAATACTAGCCAGTGCATTTGCTAAGAAAGAGTTCAGTAAGGCAACTGCAACTGCATCCCGTGTTCTACAGGTGCTAGATTCATCTTACTTTTCAAACTTTTCCGGCATTTAGTTGGATAATATACATGAAAGTTTTGGTAATGCAGCTAGGGATAGCTCTTGGGCTGATCCTTGCCATGCTTCTTGGGGTTGGTTTACATTTTGGAGCAAGACTCTTTACAAAAGACACCAATGTCATTGCCCTTATTGGTGTTGGAATCCCGGTATCTCTTCTATTTCTTGAAAAAAACTTTAAGGAGTAGTAAATAATAAAATGACTCCATTTTCATGTAGTATGAAACTTAGCCTTTTTTGGCATTTCAGTTTGTTGCAGCTACTCAGCCAATCAATGCATTGGCCTTTGTTTTTGATGGAGTGAACTTTGGTGCATCAGACTTTGCATACTCTGCCTACTCCATGGTAAGCCGTCCCATACCTTGTCAACAAAAAACATTTTAATCTATTTACTGCAACTATAAATATTTTTGTCTGCATTAATATGATAATATCTCTTTTGGATCAAATCTGTTCAGAAAATTGTCAATTGTTATTACTAGTACTGAATGTTTATCAATGGAGCTTCTCGTATGTAGGTTACGGTGGCTATCTTCAGCATCATACTTCTCTTCATTCTGTCATCAACGTTTGGTTTTGTGGGAATCTGGGTTGCACTTGCAATATATATGAGTTTGAGAGCCATGGCCGGCTTCTGGAGGTCAGGATATATCTCATTTAAGTGTTTTTGATGAAGTCATTACAATAAAAGAGAAGCAATAGAAATTGTTGAAATAATTGCAGGATAGGAACAGGAACAGGTCCATGGATATTTCTCAGGAGCTGAAAGTCCCCAACTGTAGAAAGATTTAAACTTTGTTAAGGGGAGGGGTGATCTTTTTTCATGTTAATGTACAATATTTAGGTAACCAGCAGATAGAGACAGAAAGTAATATCTTGAGTTGATATTGAAATGCTTCGGCTTTGATCAACCGTAACGTCTGTAAGTATATGCATTTCTCGATTGTCATCAGTCAAATGTAAACTAGGCCGAGGTTTTGAAAGCAGTTTTTTAGAGTCCAAACAAGTACATATTATTTGATAGATTAAAGTGCAAATCCTTGACTACAAAGCTAAGGGGAATATAAAACCAAAACTGAGATTTAGGCCCTTCCCATGAGTGAGCAACTCGATTCGCTATCGGCTCACATGAGAAAACTTGATGCTATTCATATTAGCGATCATAAGTCTAACATCATCTGCAAGTCTGCAACCAAACAAAGCCTGAACAATCCTTCCCTTCTTGAATCTCATGAATCACTTGGACGGCATTAGACTCCACCTCCAATTCACTCCATCCGTAACTCCGTAGGACAGCGACCAAGCCAATGCTTCTCGGGCGTCCAACAATTAAAGTGTAGAAAACGGGTGTAGCATTTTGGGTTAAACTAGTTAATCCATTGAATTTAGTCAAGATGTTTTTATTCATGTGCTTCTTTGAGACTTCAGTGATCTCAAATAACCTAATTGTGAATTATTATGTTGACGGTTGACCAGTGCCAAATAAACTCAAATGAACAAATGGCTTTTTTTTCGGGCAGCGGACAAGCGATCATTGATAAATATAATATGCAGTACATGTATAAATAAGTCCTCCTGATGGTTCCCCTCACAGTTTTATAAAAAAACATCAGAGAATCGAACTCAGAAATAAGCTTATAAGCCTAGCCGATGTTTTGCATTCCAGCAGCAATACCTTTCATGGTCAAGATGAGAGTCTTCCAGCCCAGGAGCGTATTCGCTTGTAGGATGAAGCTTCACCAACTCAGCAGCTGATCCAGAAGTGCATGTCATTCCGGTTTTGCTGAAACCGGCAGGCACTATTAAAGAGATCTTTGATCTAATTAACCATGCGATATACTGACATATTTACTATTAATTTCCAAAACCTTTATTAAATTGGAATGAAATTTTTTTGCTTCAGGTTATTGGAGTTGGTTTTGTTAAGATCTTTGCTGTTTGGGAAGGACATTTTCTAATGAATATGCTATGATTTAATTTGCTTACTCTGTAGCAATAACATAGAAATTTCAGCTTATTGTGTTTTGGTTTTTCTTGTATTCTTAGTTCAGTTTTTTTCATTTCCCTTTATCATTAGTGTAATTGTGTGATGTACCTATGTAATATGTCTCTGTGTGTAAAACATATATACTGATAGATTTGCGTTTTTGAAAATAAACAGCCTCAAGAAACATTAGAAAACGATAAAAAACAAAATGTACAAAATTTGCAACAAAAATAAACAAAAATAAACATAAAGCAACAATCTGCAACAAAAAATAGCAATACAATGATAATAAGAATAAACTATGTAACTCCATAAAAAATTAATAAAAACCATAGTTTGTAACTTTTCCATCATTTTTACGTTTCTAGTTTCACCATTTTAAAGTTTTTGCAATTGATATTCGAGTTTGTACTTTTCTCCCTAGGTTTTTTGGATTTATTATTTTTTATGAAATTTTTAATACTTTTTTTATTCTTTAGTTTTATTATCCATATTTTAAGTATTTTTTATTGTTATTATAATTTTTGAGTTTTTAAATATTTTAATTCGCATTATTTATTTTACTTTTACTAACTTTTATTGTTTTTCAAGTGTTTCAACAATTTATAAATTTTTAATTTTTTTTCTAGCCTTGATTCAAAAAAATGTAATTCCAGTTTCTTTTTATGTTTTTAGTATCATACGAAATAAAAAGAGGTATTTTGAGTTTGCACCCTATTTTATTGTCGAAATTAGACTTTGCACCCCGTTTTTGAAATCTTTAGTATTTGCACCCCAACCCCGTATGAAAAGGCTAAAATGCCCCTCAATTAACAATTTTGTTGGCCTTCAACATAATCTTGATCGAGGGACATTTTTGTCTTTTCATACGAGATTGGGGTGCATATACTAATGATTTCAAAAACAGGATGCAAAGTCTAATTTGGATAATAAAATGGGATGCAAACTCAAATTATCCCAAATAAAAATTACTACTCTAAGCTGTATAGGTTTTAAAAGAGTTTTTTCCATTTTCAGTCCATCGACTATTGGGTCAGTGACACTTTTGGTACCCGACTTTCATTTTTTTCATTTTTAGTCCTCGACTATTGTCCGAGAGACACTTTTAGTCATCGACTTCAATATTTTTCATATTTAGTCCCCTGAGTATTATGAAATTGACACTTTTAGTCCTTACATCATAAATTTGATACAATAAGTGGAGGACTAAAAATGTCACTATTATAATAGTTGAAGGACCAAAAGTGTCACTTTTATGAAAGTCAAAGGACTAAATGTGGAAATTTTCAAAAACGGGTACCAAAAGTGTCTGTCGCACAATAGTTGAATGACTAAAAGTGGAAAAACTCAAAGTCAAGTTCTAAAAGTGTCAGTGGCATAATAGTCGGAGGACTAAAAGTGACAAAATCTTTTTTTAAAAGTACACGATTTTTATGTTTTATTTTGTTGTAATATAGTTTTTATATTTTGTTTTTCACATTGTGAGATTGACAAAATTTATATGTTTTCCACTTTTCCAATGCTCATAATTACTCCATATTTTACAACATTTTTACGTTTTAAAACACTTGTCCTTATTTTTCAGTTTTTCAATCTGTATTTGTTAGTTACCTAATAAGAGCATTAAGGTACGTAGTAATGTAGTATTACCGTTAGTACTAAGGTCTATTTGTTAAAAGAAAAGTTTACTTAGTCTCTTTTTAAAAACAAAGTTGGGAGATTTAGGGGGGTGTATTCATTTTAAACATTTCAAATGTCTCAAATGTCTCTTGCAGAAGAGTATGAGACCGGTGCGGCTACAACTCTAAGGTCTCAAATGTCTCTTGCAGACAAAGGAAAAATTGTACAATGTCTCAAAATGTCTCCTATCCAAGTCTACACAAATCTAGACAAATTCATAAATGTCTGAAATGTCTTTTAAAATCCTATATTTTAAAAATGTCTTGAAATGTCTAAAATGAATACACCTCCTTACTTAAATAGGACTAAATAAAAGTATAATTGCAACAATAGGAGTTTAAAGTTTAAATTCCCAAAATAGGACCAACTCTTTCTATTCTACCATTTCCTTTATCCTTCTTAATAGTATTTTTTAAACAATCATTATAAAATATAAAATAATTAAAATAAAAAAAATAAAAATTGTTAGAAATAAATAAAAAATATACAGACCTCAACCACCGCCTCAGCCACCTTCCAGCACTGTCACCTCCGGTCGCCAGAAAAGATTGCCAAGTTGGGGGGAATGTCATCATGATGGCAATTTTGAACAGAAAGCTGGATATTTTCAACGAGTAAAAATGTCATATTCATGACATTTTCAAAGAAATGTGGCATTTTTTACATAAGATGACATTTTTTTCCGAAGACCAGAGCTGGTGGTGCTGAAAGGTAGAGAACGTGTTGGCAGTGACCTAGATATTTTTTAAATATTTTTTAGGTATTTTATTTTATTTTTTAGACTTTTTAAAGTTTTTTAAATATTTTATTTATTAATTTTATTTTATTTAACTTATTTTTCACCTGTTTATTATTAATTTATAAATGTTTTATTATTTTTTTATGTGTTTATTATAAATAAAACTATGATTTTTTTATTAATAAAATAAATCTTTTAGAAATAATAGGAAGATGGTAGAATGGGAAGAAGGGACATATATTAGTCCTATTTAATTTGGGGAATAAAGAGATTGTACTCCTATTATTGAATTTTGGACTAATTTTAGTCCTATTAAGGGCTAATACCCGAAATCAAAAGTGTTAAAAGTGATTTTTTTCTTTTTAGCCTATTTATTATAAATTCCCCAGTTTTTCTTACTATCACACAATTCAACGTGTGAAATCAAAAGTTACATGTTTGGTGAAAAAATTGACCGATAAGCTTGATAAACCAAAAAACGGGAACACCAAACGGGCTCTTAAATTTATTTCCACCTTTTAGCTTCAAAATACTTAATTTAAGTAGAAGTTGTTGACATGACACTTTTTTGGAAGAAGATGGCTTAAATTGATATCACAACATTCAGATGAGGAGTAAAATGACAAAAGAACCACAGACAACCGCCAACCCTCGAACCAGACTTAGAGTCAATCACCTTCAAACAAAACAATATAACTCGTTGATCCTATAATGGGTGGGCATAAATGAGCCAACGACACTTAAAGCTGACCTCTCATCACCCAATCCTAATGCAAGAATCTTACAATAATAAAAGTAACCAACAGAAAAATAAACAATCTAATCATGAAAAATAAATCGCAAGCAAATAGTAAAATTAAAAAGCTGCTTCCAAACCCTAGACTTTCCTGCACTACACGGCGGCGGTTCATGAGGGGGACGATCAAGCAGTACTGTAGTTTCTTCATTACTTTGCTTCTTCTTTTTTTGAATCATAAAAGAGCGGCCGTTATATTAAAATCAAGAACACATACAAGACAATCTTCAGACAGACATTACAAATCCAATCGTGAGCCCTAGGAGTAGACTTAGAGTCAGCCACCTTATACAAAGCAACATGCATTACTAAACCTGAAACAGGCAAATTTAGGCCTAAAACGAATGGAACCGAAACTCTACCTATCAAAAGAACTCCAAAAATCCAAACATTCAAACCAGATCTACTCGGACTGAAACGAAAACAATTGTAAGTGAAGAGAAAATAATACTGAAATAAAATCTTTCCACAAAGCATTCCCCGATATGGAGGTGGTTCTGGAGGAGGGCGAACTCTTGCAATATGGGTGAATACCAACTCCACCACCGCCGGAATGGCTGACCACAGCTTCACGATCCAGTCTCGATACAACCTCTCAGCTGCACTTCGTTAATCCACCAACGCTATCTCTTTCGACGTAGTTGCAATTCCGATCGTTATAACACTTAAAATCAGTACAAGCTGCCGCTCCAACCCCATATTGATAGGGGCGCCGGGGCGGCGGAAAATCTCAGCCCCTACGAAGAGGGGAGACGACCACTAGGGTTTCTCTCTAGAGAGGAGAAGAGAAATTTTCACACGATGAGCGGGCCTTCATTACTTTGCCTCTTATTCATCAAGTTCTCTACCAAACCTCATCTGTCGCCACCTAACACAGATGACCTCGAATCCAGGTCTGTTCCGGTCTCTAGCCCCACGTTTCGTCCATGACCTATGACTGCCGGAGACCAAGCATTCGTCTTCCATCCCTGCACAACCTTCGGCCACCGGAGAGCAAGCATCTTCTTCCCTCCGCTTAATCTCGCTAAGGCAAAAGAAGAAAAATAGCCGCACAATTGATGGCGTAAGAAAAAACCCTGTACGTCTAAGTCCACCTACGGCGGCCGCTCCTTGTTACAAATGATAGCGAAGGAAAATACCCTAGCAGTGGAAACCCACCGTAGAGAGGGATAGAACCGAGTTCTCAATTACGAAACGTGATCTGTCGATCTATTACTTGAAAACACAAATTTCAACTCTATTTAAACATAAGCCTAAAAATCATTTTTTACAAACACTCCCTAAAAGTTTTGGAATAATTGGAATATCCAACTATTTTTAAATTCCAAAAATGTATTAAAGCAATATATTACCTTGGTCGATTTAACTTTGCCAATTTCACTTGAGTGTGAAATTAGAAGAAAGAAATAAAGAGAACTACAAATTTATTACTTTAAAAGAAAAGTGTCACATATTTTGGGACAAAAAAATGGTAAAGTATAGTGAACTATGGAAAGAATAAATTTAATTTCTTTATATTGAAATAATGAGAAACTATAACTTCAACCTCACTTATTTATATTGTTAAAAATTCATCGCAATAAATTAAAATTTATGCGTTTGATAAAAAGTGTTTGAAAAGAATGATAAGTTCTTGTTGAATGTAATAACTAATAATGTTGATAATTTGTTTTTGAGCTAATAATGTTTTTTTATCATCAAAACGGATTTTCATTACTATAGAGCAAACATGCTAGACAAAATTCAGACAGCTATTACAGATCCGATCGTAAACCCTAGGAATAGACTTAGAGTCACCCACCCATACAAAGCAATCTGACTCGCTAGACACAAAACTGGCAAGAAGAAGTCTAACACGATCGAAAATGATGTACTACCTATCAAAAGTTTTTCAAAAATCAAAATACTCCAACCACACCTGCTCGAACTGAAATAAAAATAAGTACCACGAAAGGAA